TGTGTATATCCATTTTTAATTTTTTCTGTTCATTCATTTCATTTGGACAAATATTTTTTTTTCATTATTTATTATTTTATTTTAGTATTTAAATTTTTTTTTCATTTCCCCTCAAATTATTTATTGTTGATAAATATACACTGCCATTAATTTCTATTGTGTGCTTAATAACTCACTTTTATTTCTCTCTATTCTGATATTTTATATGAATAACTTCCGTTAATTTACTAGGCATCAGCAAGAATTTGGCTTTAACATAGACGGTCGATCCATTATAATTGATGACATTCGTGTGAGAGGAACTGGTAAAAGTGGTGTAGTCATGTCAACAGTTTTGAGAAAGGCTACAGCTCCACCACCAGTAGAGTTTGTAAGTCCACATTTCTTTATGATTTTAACAGGTTTACCAAGTAAGATTTAAAGCTTGTAATGTTTTGGAGTTTGTAAGTTCACATTTCTTTATGAATTTAATAGGTTTTACCAAGTAAGATTTAAACTTGTAATATTTTACATTTCTTCTGGAAGTAACACATGTTCAATAAAGTTGAAATTGTTGGGAAAGTTTGTTAGCATTGCCATCATGTCACTAATTCAAAGATATATGTAAACAGTCTAATCATACTTTATTTTCAGACCATACTTCCTATTTACCTTTCTTTTTGCAGTTGCTTTTTTTGTTGTTGTTATCATCTGTAGGGAGAAGCAGAAACACTGAAAAGTTGTAAAAGTGAGTTTTTACAATGTAGCACTGCTTTATATCAAGTGTTATATTTTCTCAATATTGGTTGTTTAAGAAATCATGGATATTTGACTGTAAGTGCCAGTTGCAGCATAACTAACTAACAATCTCATATATAATCTCAAATGCAGTGGTTGTTCAAAATGGTAGATGCAGTTAAAATATCTAAATGGCTTCACTTACTTTCAGTCTGCTTCTAACAGTAACAGAAACTATACTTATAAGACCAGATATCACTGAACAAAAGTAGAAAATTTCCAAGCCTATATGTGATGTAAAAGTTTACTTTAGTAACTTGTTTAACATGACAACCAAGCTCCAGCGTCTCCACCTTTAACCAAAATTGCATTGGTTCATAACACTTGGACCAACCCTGTATTGGAGAGGGAATGTTGAATATAATTCTGAATTTACTATTCACATCTCGACAAAATGTGGCAGTCTTTTAGTAAAATGTACAAGTCTGTTGTGCACCAAAAATTAGGTGAGTTACAAAAGTATTTGTCGACATGATATATCTATGAATTGATGACGTCATTCTGACTCAGGCTATAACAAGTTGGAGTGCAAGGTGATGTTCACATGAAAATAAAAATACTTTTGCCCATTGTACAGTTTCATATTGCATTTGCATAACCCCCAGAACCTCCAGAATGTATATCTACTGTTTTTTTCAGTATCTCATTATACTGTATCTGGTGTCTACTTTCCTTTACCACAAACTGTCACTAACTCAGCAATGTAGGGTAAAATGGATAGTTCATAACCCTGACATAAAATACTAAATACCATATTTAATGGCACTCTGTAAAACTTTGTGACATATGCACTTTGATCCTCACCCAATCACACAGGGTTGGAAGGTGGGGATTTAAAGACATAGTTTGGCAAAAAAGTTTTGTAACCCTTAGGATTTATCAATGGAATCCCGTATAACAAAACTTATTTCAAGGATTTATTCAGGTAAACTGAAAAATTTTCTCTTTTTCCCAATTCATTGGAAAAATCAAGGCAGTTGGGGAAAGTATCAGATTTTGATATCTTAATTAAGCAACTTATTTAGAGAAAACTGAGTCTATAAGTGTAATTAGATCTCAAATCAGTCAAAAAATCAGAAAAAACTCAGCTGTTTTATGAGCCACCATGCTGTGGCTAAAAATATTTAATTAATTGCTTTTATGTCATTTTATTTGAAAGTAATTTGATTCAGCCAATTTATTCTGAACTTCTTTCAGAACATTTAAAAAAAATTAAATGTAGTATATGGTAGTACTACCATCATTGAGGAATTCACATAGTCCAGCACCCTGTAAAGCACCCAGATACTTGCTCATCTTGTTGTGAATAAGAAACACCAAGATCACACTTTGTTTACGTGGTTTCTGCTCTTCTTTGAGGAACATTACCTCATATTCTGTTTTTATTGTCAGCTCTCTCTCTTCATCTAACTCATTATCCATTACATGTAGTTGCAATAAACGTTATGTTCTAAATAATGTTTTTTTCAACCTTTGGCATGTACATCAGGTGTTACTGACTAAAAAAAATAATTCTTTAGCAGAATTTTTACAAAGAGGTTAGGGGTGTGAATGTTGACACTTCAAATAATATTACTATAAGTATGTCATGTATACAAAATTATGTATATAACAAAACATAAATTTTTTCACTAATAGCATATAAAGTCTTATCAGAAATTTTGCTTACTTTTTTGTTTTATTTATGAAAACTGTTGCAGTTTTAATAGGATAATTGATGGTTAATATTTTCTTAATTTGGACAAACAGTTAAGAATTATCAAATAAAAGCCAAAATTTCACTTATAATAGCTGTTGTGGAGTAATTATTTTAACCCTTAACAGAATGCTTGCATAAGTTAAAGTAATAAATGCTGTTCTTTATGAGTAACAACATTGCTTCATTGTATAACTAAGTTAGATGAATAATGGCAGAATTTCTAACACACACAACATAAATCTACTTCTGTTACGATACCTTATCTCTCCCACATAGTAGCTTTATCTTGACTTATGCTGCCCTCTGTATGCACAATTTTCGCTTGCCATTAGCCTTAATACTTCCACCTACCCTCCCATAATTTCTTGTGGTATAGCTGCACTGTAGTATGCAAATGTGTATGCAACAACCTTCCACCAATAGGAGTGCAACACACCTTTCTAGTGCAGCTGACTCCCTCTATACTGTAGAGCACTATCACCACTTCTCAATTTGGCATTCTAGTTTGCAGTCATGCTCAATTTTTGCTCTGTACTTACAATTCTCATGTGCACTTTCAGTTAATTGTAATGTGTTTTGACAGCTCTTAGTTTTTTGTTGTTTATTTACTGCTGACTTAGTATTTTTGGAAAATTTTTCTCTTTCATTTCCACATAATGTTACTATAACATCTTCTGTTATGGACCCAGCCACTACTTATCTACTACCACTTACTATTTATGTGTTTTTTGCTCCACACCTCTTTTGGAGGAGGTCTTGGCCATGGTGCATTGTGAGTTCTAAGCTATTTTGTGGCCTGCTGTGTTTCCAGAACCTCAGCTGGATCTTCTATCTCTGGAGGAATCTGATCCTGATGAAGAGTATTTAGACACCCTTTTCCCACCTTCAGCTTTTGTTTGAACTTTCTCATGCTACCACTCTGGATTTCCCGTGTCCTCTTTCGGTTTTTTTTTGACATTATTTCTATTCCATCCATCTCCTTTTCAAGGCTATTCACTGTTCCCCTGAGAAATTTTTGGCAAGTACACATGATCTTCCCTTTTCCATGTTGGTACACTTGTCTTTCTCAGCCTTATCCCTTCATACATGTGTTCTTCGTTGTTGGAATCTCTTTGTCAGGGATGCCTTCTTGTCACATGTGCATATGCTTGCTTCCTATTTGTGAGACTTCTGTCTGGCCCCATTTTTACAACTGTTTATTTTTGGGGATCTTCCTGATACTTTGGAATCTCAGGTGAAGGCTGTACATCAACATTCCTATCTTTAGTAAGGGGCCATTTGGTCATGATCCATTCTGACAATTTGACTGTTGTCTCTTATATCAATAGACAAGGAGGTACCCATTCCCATTGCTTTCAAACATTGGATCTCCTTTTCTGGGCCCAGTCTCAGCAAGTTTGTCTTCTTGCTTGTCACGTTCAGGATACTATGAATCTTGTGGCAGATTAGTTATCTCACCTCTGATGAAATTCTACCCATGGAGTGTTCTCTTGCTTCTCAAGTGTTTCAGTGTTTATGCTCCCTGTTTGGTACTCCTGTTTTGGATGCATTTGTCATCAATTGCAATACCAAACTACCCCTCATCTGGTCTCCAGTTCCATATCTTTGCTTTGACAGTGGATACCTTCAGTCAGGATTAGGCCAATCTTTACCTTTATGCTTATTCTTCTCTCCATCTTCTTCCTTGTGTTTTGTCCCTTATCAAAGCCATTCCATGTCATTCCATCTTGCTCACCCATACCTCTTCCACTTTTCTGATCCCTTTTACATTCATCTCAGTCCACCAAATTTCATCCTGCTGTCACCACACTCTGGCTTCATGCGTGGATTTCATCTGGTCCCTTGCAAGATGATCTAGACTCTCTATGCAGGTAGCCTTCCTTCTTTCTCGCTTGGTCTATCATTCTTCTTTAAATGTTTCCCAGAGGAAATGGCACATTTTCCAGAGTTGGTCTTTATACCATGGTTTCTCACTTTCCAGACCTAATGATTCCTACCTTTCCAATTTTTTTACTTGGCTTTTGGACAATGGTTTGTTATTTTCCACCATTGCTATAGGGCAGTCTTATCTAATACCTTTTGTTTCTCCATCTTCTATCACATTTCTTTCTCTTCCATCCTTTTTCTCTCTTTTTCTCTTAATTCATTGGTCTTGTCCGATTCCTCTACCTGATTGGAATCTCGGTGTATTCCTTCATGCCTTTACACTTCCTCCCTTTGACCATTTGCTCATTGTACCATCTCACCCTCAAGACATATTTCTTACACCTCTTTGCATGTGATTGTTGTAAGTGAGATATCTTTGCTATTGCATCTCTCATATCTTCTATTACTATAGCTGTATTCTCCATTATCACTATAGCTTTGTTTTATCACCCACTGTTAATCCCATCCCATTCCTGTCTGTTTGTACCATGGAATACTTCCTTTGTCCATGATCTTTATCTTATCACCCTTACTGGATGGAAATGCCACCTTATTCATCTTGCTTATGCATTTTTATCTGAGTATTCTTGCTGCATTTTCCAAGTTTTCTCCCACCAGAAATGTCATCTCACTCTTTTCCTGGCTGCCCAATTCTGTCGACTGTTAAAAGATTAAAAGTAGGCTGGCATGTAGTCCATGCCTCACATTTATAACCCAATACCTGTATCATTTCACCATCTTCTCGTCTGGATGTCGATTGCCACCTATCACCATTCTCCATACGTGATTTAGTCTCTGAAAGAGTATGATCTTCCTTTTATTTCTTCCCTTTCCAGTGGCCCTTTCTTCTTTCCTGGATCCTGCTCTGTGGTGAGTAGTGCCTTTCCAGGTATACTTAAATGTAAATCCGCACCATATAGCAGTACAGATCTATAACACTCACTGAAGTGATGGGGTGTTCCAAAAAA